ACCCGAAGGATGGGGAGGAGGACGACAACAAGAGGGAGGGCAAGAAGGAGGACAAGAAGAAGGACAATAAGGAGAATAAGAAGAAGGACAAGAAGGATGAACAGAAAAACGGTAAGAAGGGTAAGAAGCGCGACGCCGACGCGTCCTCGACCTCAGACTCCTCGTCCTCAGACGACTCCTCGGCCTCGAAGAAGAAGAAGCCGAAGACAGGCTGAAACAGAGCACAGGCTTGAGCACAGGCTGCAACATAATTCGACAGCTCCGACGCAGGAGCCAGCCCGCACGCCCCTGTTCCCGTGGAGCTCCCACTTGTTTGATTTTGGACTGCAACAGTCGCGCGCTGGCGGCGTCGCCTCCGTTCTCGCAATGGGACGCGCGCCACATTCTGGCCTGCGCAGTGCACGGCATCCTGCGTACAGATGATAGGAACATAGTCCTCCGTCACCCCTTCGTCGCCATCCGTCGCACTTGGCCCACGGCGCAGGCAAGGCGCAGAGTCAGGATGCTTACCTTTCCAAAGGGTACCCTTGCATCCTACGCTTTCCGCTCCGAAGCTGGGGAGCTGGATAAACAACAGATACCATGCCGCCAAGGCCCTTGCATCCTTACGGCGCTCTGCAGGGGCGGGCCAGGAAGGGGGCGCAGCAGGGCAGGGAAGACACGGGAAGCAACGCCCCGAGGAGCGGCCGCAGGGGGAGGGGGGGGACGGAGGAGGGGCCCGCAGGCGTCTCGGTTCACTGAAACTTAGCGGGCCCGCAGGGACGACACTGCCGTCAGCGGGCCTCCGCGGCGATGGCTGCCTCGGGCTGCAGCGGTCGCGACAGGAACAAGGTTCTCTTCTATAAGCGGGGCTGTTATCTGCAGGGTGACGGGTCGAACAACGACAAGATCAACAAGAAGCTGAAGGGGGACCTGCAGCAATAGCATGGCCAGGGTGGCAAAAGGTGCCCCGACCGCAAAAGTGACGCTGGAGAAGGTAACGAAGAACAAATGTGCGTTGACGTGGCCAAAGCCAGTTTCGCATGACACCTGCGCGCGGCTCCTCAAGATTGCGCTGGGCGCCAACTGGAAAGACTATGTGAGCAAGCCTGCGGGGGTGCCAGGGTGCGCGAAATGGGCTGGAACAGCTAACGCTGCAGAAGATGAGCCAGCTGTCGCCGAGGGCCACGGTGTCGCAGGAGAAACCCTAGAGGACGCGCTGGGGAAGGTGTTCGTTCCCGCCGCGGACGGGGCATCGGAGCCTACGCCACCGGCAGCTGCTCGTCGCGGGTCTGCTGGTCCGAGAGCGGTGTCCCACGACGAGGGTCGCGTGAAACTACTTGCACTGAAGCTCCACGCGGTCGGGCACGCGTGCCAAAACAAACCGAGTGGCAAGTGCGAGGGCCTGCCGCTCGAGTACGACGTGCAGTGGGAAGGAGGGGGAGCTCGGTCAGGGCTCTTTCGGCAAGGTCTACTTGGGCACGCGACGGGGCGACACGACTGGCCTTGCGATCAAGATGCTGCGGGGCGACCCCAGCGATGCGCAGAAGGGGTTCAATACGGATGCCGTCGGAGGGGCTCTGGATGAGGTCACGCGCCACGGTGCTGCGGGCACGCGCCCGCGTCTCGTTCGCTCACTCGACGCGGGCCTTTTTTTTCAGGAGGTTGCGCCCAGGAACTGCAACAGCCCCGAAGAAAGCACACAGAACTGCAACAGTCAGTACCAAGGAGGAGGATAGATTGGAAATGGACGGAGCACATCAGCCTCGCGCACGAGTTGTTCGAGATCGATGCCCGCCAATTCCTCTAGAAGTCCTCCTTCACGCAGACAGGGACGCGCCACGTCCTGAACAGCGTTCCCGAAGGGCTCCAGTACATGCGCGACAGGGGCCTTATTCACTGCGACATCAAGCCCGCGAACATCCCGATGCGAGGGTCGCCGCAGACGCGCGGCTGCTTCGAGAAGCAGGCACTTGCATCACGTGAGCTTGACAAATGGGATCCCGTCGCGCCGTGCCCAAAGAGCAATCTGCAGTTCGACTGGCAGATCCCGAGTTCCTTCGAGGCGCTCGTCGTCGACGTCGCCGTCGTCGTCGTCATCCTCATCCTCGTCCTCCTCGTCCTCCTCGTCCTCGTCGTCCTCGCCGCCCTCGTCGTCCTCGTCGTCCCCGTCGTCGTCCTCCTCGCCCTCGTCGTCGTCGTCCTCGTCGTCCTCGTCCTCCTCGTCATCCTCGTCGTCCTCGTCGTCCTCCTCGTCCTCGTCGTCGTCGTCCTCGTCGTCCTCGTCATCATCGTCATCCTCGTCATCCTCGTCGTCGTCGTCGTCATCCTCGTCATCATCGCCGTTCCTTCGACTAAGATCCCGAGTTATCAGGGCTCACATGGAGCTCTAACATAGTATGTTAGAGCTCCCAGGGAGCTCTAACATAGCACGTTAAAGCTCCAAGGGAGCTCGAACATGCCATGTTAGAGCTCCCTGGGAGCTCTAACATGGCACGTGATACCATGTTAGAGCTCCCAGGGAGCTCTAACCTAGCATGTCAGATCTCCCCAGGGAGCTCTAACATAGCATGTGAGCGCTCCGATGGAGCTCTAACATAGCGCGTTAGAGCTCACATGGAGCTCTAACATAGCATGTTAGAGCGCCGACGACGCCCTCATAGACGAGGTCAGAGCTCAGCTTATCTCACTAGCCTTCATGTTAGGTCTCACACCGAGTCCTAACAAGGGAGGTTCCACCCTTCCCCCGAGATGCCGTCGTCGTGCCCTCTATCCCGCCCTTCCCTCCAGGGGGGGCTCAGTCGCCGTCGCTCCCCTCTCCTCCATCCGCCCCTCTCCGCAGGTGGTGCTCGCCGACCTCGGCCGTGTGGAGATAGCGGATCCCCACGGCAGGTTGAAGAAGAAATTGCGCTACAGCCCGGCCTGCGACGACCTCGGAGTACGCGCGCCCGCTTACAGAGCGGTAGACGCTTTCTTGGGGAACCAGCGCTACTCAGAGGACCTGGACATGTGGCCCATCGGGTGCCCGATGGTGGAGTTGCACACGCGCAAGGCGTGGTTCCAACCAGAGCCTTGCGGCGCGCTCGGGCATCCAGGGGGGCACCCGAAAGACTTCGTGGTTTTCTGCAGGGAGGTCTTGGGGATCCCAGGCAAGGAGCCAGGGTCGGGCAACTTCTACAATTACGAGGACCAGGAACCCGCCCCGTGGCTGGACATTTTGCCTTTCTTTGAGGAGTGGTTCAAGCGGTCGGGCGAGGATTGGCTAAAGGCTGAAACAGCGAAGGCACTCGACGGCCGAGGGCGCTGGCCCGCTGACGAACTTGCAGACTGCCCCCCCCCCAGACTTGTTGAAGGCCGCCGAGAGCTGCCCGCTTTGGCACCCTGGCGCCAGAGCGACAATCAGTCGTCTAAGGGCTCGTCGCTTCCTGCAGCCGGCTGGCGCCCAGCTCGACGCGCGCATCTCCATGGCGCGGGGGAAAAACGGCACGGGCACGATAGCGGAGGCGGAGCTGGACCCAGACTTGCTCCGCTTCTTGCAGAGAGACCCGTGATGGCAGAACTTGGCCGAGGAGCGCCTGGACACGGGAGCAACCGTCGCCAAATGCGTCCGAGGCGACGAGGCGGCAAAGAGCTTGAAAACAGAGGTCGCAGGCATCGTGGACGACGAAAGCCCCCCGAAGTGCCGCAGCCTCAACAAGGGCGGGAATTTGCAGATCACCCCCTCGCCCCACATGGCCGCCTTCGCGCGAGCGCTGCGGAAGAAGACGCGCCCGCGGCTGCAACAGCTGGGAGACAAAATGCGCGAGGCTGTCAAAGCCGACGGCATGCAACCTGCCATCGTCGAGCAGAACGGAAAGCCCATCATGACAGAGCACCTCGCCGACAACGCGTTCGCGCACGCATCGATCCAGCTCATGCAACCAGGCGCACGGGACGATGGTTGGCACACAGATGGCGGATGCTCCCTGTTGCACGCGGCCGCGACGATTTTCGGGACGCGCTCCGTGCAAGTGAGGATCCCAGGGGTCCTGGGAGCACATGATGGGGCGTCACCCTCGAGCACAGCCTCCTGCGGAAGGGTCGTCACCCTCGAGCAAAGGCCTGGGTCCTTCTACATGGGCACCCTGTCCTCCCTCGAGCGCAACGTGCACCACCGCGCCTCCGCGGACTGCCAGGACTGTTTCGTGACCCACCGCGAGCTGCAACAGCGCGTAGACGACCGCAGGCTGCAGATCGCCGTCGCGACCCGCTCCGACGTCTTTCGAGAGTTCAGGGCGCGCAGGATCGACGCCACGCCTGGCCCGAAGGAGTTCTTCAACGTCGTGAACCACGTCGTGGCCGATCACCTGGCACGGGTCCCCGTGGCGCTGCCCGACCTCACGGAGGTGCTTGACGAACTGCGGTGGCCCGCTTCCACGGAGGTTGCGGGGCTTTCCGATTAGTACTCAGCACGGCCCGCGCAGTCCGAATGAAGGTTATCGTCATTTTCATCATTATCAGCATCGTCGTCTTCATCGCCATCATCATCGCAATCATCGGCTTCATCACCATCGTCATCGTCATCATCAACATGTTGACGCCGCCATCGTCGCCATGCGGGTCTTATTTAATCATCATCATCACTACATGATGATGACGATGACGAGGAGATGATGATGGATCTCATGATGATGACGATGATGAGGAGATGGTGATGATGATGGCGATGACGCGGACGATGATGAATATCATGGCGACGATGATGACGATGATGATGACGATGATGCAAGGCAAGAACAGGTTGAGTCGGTTGAGTCCAAAAACCCCGCCCTAAATCAAGCCAGCGAATTCCCCCCCCCGGATTCAGTCCCAACCGAGGAAACGTCCTTCAACGCCCTCAGCCCAGAGGGCTGATGGGATCCGAAGCAGTGCGCCGTAAGCTCCCACAGCGCCGCTCCTTCTCCCGCTCCCGCTCCTCCTGCGGACCCTTCTGGTCATCCTTCCCCCTTCCTGCCCCCTCAGCTCCTTCCAACTCCTCGCGTAGGCGTAGGTTGGCTCAAGTTTGGCCCAGGGTTCCCGCATTCGTGGTCTCTGCGTTTGGGCGTGGCGGGAGGCATGGTAGCGCCGCCCGCCGTCGCGCGGACTTGTCTATCTATTTACGTTCCGCTTGCGATGTCGTGGCTCCTGGCCAGCCTTGCGCGTGGCAGCGCGACTGGCGACATCGATGGGATCATCAATGTCGCGAACAGCACCGCCAGCCGTAGCCTTGGCAGCCTGCTTGAGAGCGCGGAGGCACGTTGGTCCCGCGGCTGTCACGCACTTTGGGGGGCAGAGGTCACCCGAGTCTGGATAATACAAGAGGTCATACCCTTGTTGAACTTGTTGGCGGACCTCCACCACTGGCGAGTTCAATTCCAGGTTGACCTCACTGCGGGGTCAATATTCCAGTCTGAACTTGAAGTCGCCTCAATTCCAGTTAACCCTCACTTCCAAGTCAATATTCAGACCGATCTGAACAAAATAGACTTCGATCCTTTTGGGGGAAGTCCTGCTGTGATCCACTGCGACCTAGTGGATGATGATCAAGATGCGATCCACATTCCCGTCGGAACTCTTGGTGGCAAGTGTTACGCCACTGTCGTTTTGTTTCTCTTGGCGATAATGGCCGCAAGATTATGGTTCTGGTATTCATCGAAAATGTGGTTGGATGTTCCCGTGTCGTTATACTTCCTTATGAATGTGTGTGTGTGTGTGTCGCGTTCGTGCCGAGTGAATGGTGCTGGGGCTGGACTACATTCATGATCCGCCCCCCTGGCTCCGTGAACAGAGTCGAGGTACAGGGGGTTCGCAGCGGAGTCAAAGTGGACGACATTAGGAGATTCGCTCATTCATACTTGCAGGCGCACCAATCTTATATCGTCTGTTCTGATAACTGCCAGGCCTACGCTCAGGCATTGGAAGGATATGTGCGGAACGGTGGACAACCACAGCTGCTCAAACAGACATTTGTAAACAGCGTTGTCCCGCCATTTCTGACTCGCCTGTTTGTGATTGTCAGCCCGTTTTTGATTGTCAGTATGGTCACTACTGTTTATCCGTAAGGGCTTCGCCCCCTGCCGCCGGCCCCCTCTCTCGGAGAATGGGCCATGGAGGAGCTAAGTCATGAGGCCTTGGCGCTGTCGTGAAGCAGTATCCAAACTTCATGCGAAGCCGATTCGCAATCAGCAAAACCAACTGATCACAAGAGGGGTTACCACACCTTGCGATTAAAGGGCCGAGGGAGTTCTCGCAGTTTGGGTTACCACGCCTTGCGATGGATGTGCGTGAAGGGTGGCACCGAATTTCAGAAATGTGGCAAATCCCATGTGTTTTTGGACCCTGACCCCGCGGATCTGCGTGAGGGGTGGCACCGAATTTCAGAAATGTGGCAAATCCCCTGTGTTTTTGGACCCTGACCCCGCGGATCTGCGTGAGGGGTGGCACCGAATTTCAGAAATGTGGCAAATCCCTGTGTTTTTGGACCCTGACCCCGCGGATCTGCGTGAGGGGTGGCACCGAATTTCAGAAATGTGGCAAATCCCATGTGTTTTTGGACCCTGACCCCGCGGATCTGCGTGAGGGGTGGCACCGAATTTCAGAAATGTGGCAAATCCCTGTGTTTTTGGACCCTGACCCCGCGGATCTGCGTGAGGGGTGGCACCGAATTTCAGAAATGTGGCAAATCCCCTGTGTTTTTGGACCCTGACCCCGCGGATCTGCGTGAGGGGTGGCACCGAATTTCAGAAATGTGGCAAATCCCTGTGTTTTTGGACCCTGACCCCGCGGATCTGCGTGAGGGGTGGCACCGAATTTCAGAAATGTGGCAAATCCCATGTGTTTTTGGACCCTGACCCCGCGGATCTGCGTGAGGGGTGGCACCGAATTTCAGAAATGTGGCAAATCCTGTGTTTTTGGACCCTGACCCCGCGGATCTGCGTGAGGGGTGTCGATTTCGAGCCCCCCCAGCAATTCAGACAACGCGCCCAGGGGGTGCTAAAAATCTGGTTTGGGCCTCCCCCCCCTCGCGCGGTCAATCAACTAGTTACAGTAACCAGCAAGAAGCAGAACTGTAACACTGGAAACTACAAACTACGACTGGTACAGGAAACTGCGAATCACGGGCCTACAGCCTGGTGGCCCCACAAGGGGGCCGGCGGATTTAGTAGGTTCTATGGTTCTCATTATGGTTGTGGAGCCGGAGGGGGAGAACGCCAATACCAGGTCATGCATGTTTCACTATCTGAGAGGCATTGGCAGCCGTGTTGCAGTTTTTCAACTTGTCATCAATGTGGTCTCAGGTGTTATGATAATTGCAATGGGAGATGTAAACCTGCTACCTGTCTGTGTCGCATTGTTCATGTTTGGGCTCTGGTTCGTGTGCAGTGACTTCTTCTTCGGTGCGCCACCGACGAAGAAGCAGGACAATGGCACGTTCCAAGAGCCCCGCGTTCCGCCAATGGCCGCGCATCCAGAGGAGGAGGAGAATATCATATGCGTTGTCCGCGTTCCGCCAATGGCCGCGCATCCAGATGAGGAGGAGAATCTCAAGTGCGTTGTGATGAGCAAATCAATGTTCTGGATGGTTAACTTCTACGTGATCGCGTATCCCATCGTGGCCGTCCTCTACTGCAGGCTGCCTGACGTCCGTGCGGACATGCATGGGCGGAATCACAAGATAAAGATCATGGAGTTCTTGCTGTCGCTTTTCTGGAGCGTGGCGTTCTCACACCTGCTGTACAAGTGCATCGTGGAGAGGATGAAGGATGCGCAAGGCCAGGGATACCAACCTATCATCGATATCAGCCGCCAGAGCTCTCGACCCACGGGGCGCGTTGCTTGGGGGCGCGCTGCTTGTACTGCCGAGTCGTTGCTGGACGGTCCCGGGGCCGAGCCGGTTGCGGCGCCTGGGCAGCCTTTGCAGTGGGCGCCGGACGAGACGGTTTGCGTCCCCGTCCGCCTGGCCGCCGCACGGGGTCCCAGACCCCTAGAGTGGGGAGCCTGGGCAGCCGTTGAGGCGTGGCCGCCAGCGGCGGCCCCGCCCAATGCCGAGGTCTCTTCTCTGTCAATGGCGGTCCTGTCCAATCCCGTCCAGACGACCTGGGGGACCGCTTCTCCGTTGTTGGAGATTGAGCAAGCTGCTGAGCGCTTTCGGCCGCCAGCGGCGGCCCCGTCCAATGCCGAGGTCTCTTCTCCGTCAATGGCGGTCCTGTCCAATCCCGTCCAGGCGACCTGCTGGTGGGACCGCTTCTCCGTTGTTGGAGACTGAGCAAGCTGCTGAGCGTTTTCGGCCGCCAGCGGCGGCCCCGTCCAATGCCGAGGTCTCTTCTCCGTCAATGGCGGTCCTGTCCAATCCTGTCCAGGCGACCTGGGGGACCGCTTCTCCGTTGGAGGAGACTGAGAGGACTTTTTGATGATCAAGCTGGGCGTTTTCGGTGATTCTTAGGAGGCGTCCGTCAGAGGAGAGAAAGCCACCTCGACTCAGAGGAGGGGAAGGGTACCCATACCGCTACCTTTCCCTCGTTTCCCCTTTTTGGGCCTCTTGGGAGGCCCTCGTCGCCACCGCTGGCTGGATTCGTTTCGAAATCCTGGTCAGAACACGCCCTGGTAGAGCTCCAGGGAGTAGCTGTATCGGTAGCTTTTCGTTCCCCCACCGACCCCCCAAATTGACGTTTATTAAGGAGCCCTGAGCGTTGACTAGATAGCCCTGCCCTGTTCGATCCCTTGCTTGGGTGCGTGTGCCAAACGCCTTTGCTTGTCGGGGTGCGTATTGTGGGGGTGTTTTTTCTGTCCTCATTCAGGGGGGCCTCGGGAGGCATCCAGGGACCTCCAGGTCGGTAGTGGGTGCTCCCTCGGGCCTCCCTCCTCTTCGCCAGCCACGCGGGCCCTGCTAGTGCCGGGGTGGCTGCTGGCCAGCGGGCCTGCTTGACTGCAGGCCAGGTCGTCCAACGGCGAGCCAGGTCGGCAGTGGTCCTGGATGGGCCAACTCTTCGTCTCCCCAGGCCTCCCGCCTCCCAGGGCAGATGCGGCGGGCTTCACGTCGGAAGATCTTCCGCCTGCAATCCCCGATGCGACGCCGATGTGCCGGCGATGCGGTGCGATGCTTTGCAACGTCGACCTCGTCCTACTCTGGCTCAATTGGGGAGGCCTCCGAGCATGTGCTCCATGCTCTATCCTCGTCCCTCGCCCGTCCCCTCCAGGCAGTCGCATGCATTCGGCTCCATCTTACGGCACACACTCCGTGCAGCGCCAGATGCAAGGCCGGTGGGGGCGGTCGCATGTGTTCCGCCTTTGAGGTTGTAACGCCCCTAAAAGCACCTCGCATTGTGTCAGGAGCTCAAACGGTGGCATGCGCCCAGCGTTTCGGTTCGGCTCGACGGCCCTCATCGTACACACCGCGCCGCATACCTCCGCCCCCCTACACAACCATTTTCCTCGAAGGCATTTTTGAATGCAGATTGGCATGCGTGGACTGTGGTCCACTACTTCAGTGGAGCAATGAATTCGTCAAGGTCTGGGGCCTGCTAGAACCTGAGCGCGCGCGAAGCTCGCGCGATGGTTCTAGTGTGTGTGTGTGTGTGTATATATATATAATCGGAATGTGTATGTGTATGCGCCCGAGTAAGACCCCGTGGGGGCCGCAGACCTGCCTCCCCCTCCCCCATTCGGGATACGGGGGCCCGGCGACCTTCCAAGGTGGCCCCATATGGCAGCAGATGGCTTCACGACAGTCCTTCAGGCCGCCCAGATGGTCCGAGATGGGCCCAAAACTACTTCAAGAGTCCCCAAATGGCTTCGAAGACGCCCCAGAGAGGGCCCCGAGAGGCCCAAACAAACTCTCAAGAGCGTAAGGAAGACAGCCGGTTTCTCAAGGTGTCGCTTCTTCTTTTCTGAGTGGGCTCTGATGCTTGTTGATGGTCCCTAACGGCCCAAGAGTGCCTCAAGATGAGCCCCGGAGAGCCCCAAGACGTTCCCAAGATTGCTCCGAAACTCCCAAGAGGAGGATGAAGACGACGACGAAGAGCAGGGGGAGGAGAAGAGGGTTGGAGGAGCAGCGGCCGAAGATGAAGAGAAGGAGGAGGCGTAGAGGGGTGATAAGGGACGGATGATCGGCGAGGAAGGAGGGAGAGGGCAAAGGGAGACTCCACAACTGCCACTTCGGCAGAGGAATTGTTTGGAAGAGGAAGAAGCAGGGATAGAGAGAGGAGGGAGGATGGGGGGAGGCGGGTGCGGTGAGGGATCAGTATCGGATTCAATCCGTGTCAGTTGTTGGTACTGTGCAACGGTCTGCACTGGAGCCTAGACCCTCGCGACGCGAGCGTGTTTCTAGCACATATACATGTTACACACGCATATGTTTTGAATGTAGGTGTGTATACACATGTGTATACAAGTCTGTGAATGGTTTGTATCGCCCCGTGTGTATTCTCTCGGCCCCTTCTGGATCCACCCCTCGATGCTCGACCCGTGTATCCTCCCTGCAACGGCACCATCGGGAAGGAGAGTGGCTTCATCGATCACGCAGTAGAGTCACGCCTACGACCTTGGACACCCTTGCTCTCTCATCCCACAATGCCCACTGCGCATGGCGCCCTGAAAACCAGATTGCGTGCTGAATTGAGATGTGCGGTCATGATGTTGATGTGCAGGTGAGCGGCATCCAAGCTTCATCGCTAGTGCCGAAGACACGATGTAGGATCGACGCGAGAGGGCTGATTGGCGCTGACCTGCCACAGTCATCTGGCAGACATCATATTAATGCGCACGCGGTTCCTCAATTCTCCCCTGCAGATGGCTTCCTTCGACAACCCGGGCCCCATCGAGATGCTCGTGCGCAGGGGCACGAACGGTGAACCGTGGGTAGCTCAGGTGAGTGCCTGCAAGCCGCTGTTTGCCAGCCAAAGGGTACGGTCAGGGCAGCAGCGGGGAGCGGCAGGGCCTGCCCTGGAGACGGCGGACGGTCGGTGGAAGGGCCGAAGGGTGCAGAGGGAAAGAATGAGGTTGCGCGTGTGTACGGGAACATATGTTTGAAATTGAAGTCATGGTCCACATGCATTCGCCCACATGTCCGCATGGAGTCCGATTCGCGGGTGACCGCCGCCAAGCGAGAACATCAATCGGGCGGCGTTGCCCGAAAGTATTTACGGAAGCCGTTGCGGAGTTTGTGTTGGGGGTGAGGGCATGAGTTTTTGTCGGCAGCGAACTTCTGTATTATTTGGGAACGTTCCATTAGCCTCCCTCCCTCCCTCCCTCCCTCCCTCTGTCCCCCGCCTCATCTTCCGATTCAGGAGTTTCTCGGAGGACTCTTGGAAATATTGCCATCTTCTTTGCTCTGCTCATGTCTATATGTTTTCTCTTGTTCTTCTCCAACTCTGCCTCCCTCGTCTCTCCCTCCCTGATCCTGACCGTCCGACCTCACGAGCCTCTTCCCACTTTTCCCTCCTGATCATTCCCTGTTCTCCCTCCCTCCCTCCCCCACCCTCTTGTTCCACCTCGTGTTCCTCGTCATCTCTTATATCTGCGCCCTCCTCCCCCGCCCTCCCTCCCTCCCTCCCCCTTGTTCCTCCCTTCGCGATCAAGGGGCCCCAGGCAGGATGAGGGCGACGACCAGAAGGGTGACGACGGGGACGACGGAGGAGAAGGAGGAGCTGGCCGAGGAGGGAGGGTGGCAGCAGTGCCCCAGAGGCAGGGCAGCGACGGGGAGCAGAGAGAAACAATGCACTCCGGGGAACAGACAGTGGCACACACACACACACACACACACACACACACACACACACACACACACACACGCTTCACGCTTCCAGGCTTCACAGGGACTAGCGACACACTATGTTTCGGCCGGCTGCTGCTCGCGGGAGGGCCCAGCGGAGTGACGTCTTATCCAGATCAGAGTGCGCCGAACCGCGTTGGAGCGAGGCTTGCAGCACAAACATGAACGTCCGGAGGTCCGTGCTGCTGTCTTGGATCGGCGCTGGACCCCCATTGGCGTCGCGTCTGGCGCCGCCCCTGGCGCGCTTCGCGCGCCAGGGAGGGGGGTCCAGCGCCGATCCACGAGATCTGCGCGGACCTCCGACGGCTTGTGTTTACGCCATGATCTGTTTCCCGAGCTGCAGCAGGGGGACGGGAGGGCGAGACGAGGCGGAAGTGAGAGGGGCGAGAGGATGGGAGGCGAGAGCCCTCAAGGAGGCAAGGCGATGCTGGGGCGCGCCGGTCAGCCCCCCGGGCAGCGCTCGGCGAGGTCACGGACGTGCTCATCAAGATGCTGCCAGAGGACGTGCAGCATGCTGCCAAGAAGATGGGTGCCCAGGTGCAGCCAAAATGTGGGAGCATGGCCCACTCGTGTTTTGCCCAGCGACGATCCAAAGAATCCTCGCGAGCCGTCGAAAGTTTATGATTGTGTCCTTGTTTGTTCTTTTAGGGAGAGCCTTGGGGCTTCTTGGGTCCTTCGTTATGTCGTTCCTTGGATGTTCCTCGCAAACCTGGTGCCACGTGTTTCGTTTCCTCGTTCTGCTCCTCATGGCAAGACGTCGACCGTAGTCGAAGGAGGTGGCCGCCGGCCCCTCACCTCCAGGCTCCCCGCGCTCCGTCTGGTCCCTCTCGCCCTCCGCTCCCTCCTGTTCGCCCTCCCCTCCCCTCCCCTCTCCCCTCTCGCCCTCCCCTCCCTCGCCCTCCTCCCCCTCTCGCCCTCCCTCCCCCTCCCTCCTCCATCGCCCTCCCCCCCTCCCTCCCTGTCCTCTCCCCCTCCCTCCCCCTCTCGCCCTCCCTCTCCTCTCGCCTCCTCTCCCCCCCTCCCTGCCCGCCCGTGCCCTCCCCGCCTCTCCCTTCACCCTCCCCGCCGTCATCGGAGACGGAAAGGCGAGCGCAGGAGTCAGAAGGGTTGGCGCAGAAGTTGGGAAATTGAACCCGAGTAGTTTCAAGTCGGGCATGTCCCTCTACAGGGGGAATATTCAAAGATAGTCAAAAAATAGTCTGGGGCCTATTTCCGGAGCATTTGCTTACCATTTTGGAGTATTGTGTGAGTATGTGTTATTTTCCGTCGAAAATCCCCCTGTAGGGGGACACGCCCGACTTACGAGTAGTTGGAGTCCGCAGGGCGGGTGGCGGAATGGTAGACGCAGGGGCCGAGTGGAAGAGATACGTAGAGCTGGAGGTGGGGAGACACATCAGATCCTACAGATTCTAAGAAGCGAAAGCGCACTACATAACATAGTCTTCCAACGTTTTCATGCATGTCGATATGTCGCAGTTGCTAACCACAACTTGTTACGTGTCTGGTCGTCGCAGTCTTCAACAAGATCCCTAGCGAGAAATGAGCGTATGATGTCGTCTGCCCACCGCTGTAGTTGTCCTCCATGCCGCCACTGTGCTGGGCGTGGATCGTGTATGTGTGTGCGTGTCTGGCTCGCACGACGCAGCTAAGAATGTCCACCTGTCCCACTCCTGTGTCGACACACGGGCTGCCCACCTCCATTACCCGCCTGAAGTAGAAAGAAATCCATTCCTCCAATTGTGCCCGAGCAGCATGTTCCGTAGCTTCGTGCGTGGCTCTTCGCACGTATCAGGCTCGTGGTGTCTTTCCATCGTCCAGCTTCTCGTCATTGAAGTTGGCCAGGTTGTTTGCGTTGTTTGCTCTATTGGTATCGTTCGTGCTGCGGTGGTGATTATGGTCGGAGGTGTCGGGTGGGCGTTGGTGTTGTTCATTGCGTCTTTTCGGCACTCCGGAGGCAAGGCTGAGCATGTTCCTCCGGACACGCTTCTGAATAATCAGCACATTTTTGTTCAGAGTTCAATCTTAGCAACCTTACATCACGGATGGCGTGATCGTGTTGTTGAAGAAAGAGCTTCAGTCTGTTACGGAGAGGAAGTGTTCGTTAGTCATTTCGTAACGAAGTTCATTGAAACGGGACCACCCTGCAGCAATCTTGTTGCGCAGCTCTGTGTCGTGACATTTGGAAATAATGAGTTCTCCCCAAGAATGTTTGATTGTGGTGGGAGCGCAGGATGCGGATGCTGTCCCATTTGATTTCGATTGGGGTGATTAGTCTACAATCCCTCTGGGTGGCATGTGTCCGGATGTGTGTTCTGTCTGGATGTGGTAACAGACCATATTTGTCCTCGTAGGTTTGTACGTCTTGAAGTAAGCAGGTGACTTGTCGCAGTTTTGTGACGTAGTGCAGCACGTCGTCGGCGAAGCGCAAAGTTGTAATCCACATATGCGCTGAGAAGCCGAGCTGGATCCCGCTGTTATGTGCGAAGCCAGACGGTTTCACGTGTCTGAAGACATGCTCGGGGATGGCGCAGACGAGAAAAGAGTTTACTTGGTGTTTGTTGCCCGTTCGATGTTGAAGGCACTGTTGTTGGTATCCGTTCGGATTGTATCTTTCTTGATGCTATGCAACTGCTTCAAGACTGTAATGTCGGCGGATGGTATGTGCTGTTTCCATAGGGGAGTGTCCCGCAAGCATTGGTGACCCACGCAGTCGAACGTTTCTTGAAGTCTGTTGCGGCGACCCAGAGCAGCAGGTGCCATGCGCGAGAGCTCTCATGAAGCATTGGCAGTGTATTGGTGATCCAATGGTCTTCCAGACCGTGGTGGTTGCGACAATTTGTTTGGCCTGGGCATCCTAGTCAATTGGAGAGCAGTCGAGACGTCAGCTTATACAGCAGATGGACGATAGCGATTGGTTTGTAATTGCCTGGGAGCTTCGGGTCACCAGACTTGTGCATTATAGTGATGATGGTGCTCCTCCACTGGTCTGGTGGGGGGTGCTCAGACTTGATGAAATTGTACAGTCAGAGTAGGTCCTAGTGTATGGTGGCGCCACATGCTTGGATTAATTATGCCGTGAGCCCAGCGGTATCACGCACTAGCCATTTTTGATTTGTTTGATTTTTTGGTGGAGTTCGTTTGCCGCGTGACTCTGGCTCATGTCCCCACAACCCTGGCTCTAACCTGAACGACTTCAGCACCAGTGTCAATTTGTCCAACTGCTGCGCCCATCTTTTTCACTTGTTGTTGTCTCTCCGACTCGATTCCTACCCCCACGACTCCGGTTCTTGTCCCCGTGATTCATGTTTTTTTCCATACGATTCGGGCACCAGTGGCCTATCTTCTGACTCCTGCGCACATATGTTCGACTCATGCGATCGTCTCTCCGACTCCGGCTCTTATCCCCACGGCTTCAGCTTTTGTCCCCACGATTCTTGTCCTTGCCCTACGACTCCAGCACCCATGCCCATCTCTCCGGTTATTGCGATCATCTTTTCGAATATTGTTGTCGTTTTTCCGATTCCGATTCCGGTTCTTACCCCTATGGCATCGGTTCCGCGTGGTTCAACACAGTTTGAGGCAGAGCATCTTGAATGATTTTTCTGTTTACACAGGCGCGACTGATTTCACCATCCCCCGACTACGGCACATGGCTCTTCGATTTTGCGCCCACGTTCTCTCCAGGTACGACTGCTGGCTTCGATTCCGTCTCCCATACGTCGAAGAAGAAAAAACGGCATAAGCGCAAACTGTTGGCGCTCCGCGCGGAGCGCCAGAAGTTTCTGTTTGTGCCGTTGTTTCTTCTCCTCTGCGGCTCCTGGTCCCACCTTTCGGAATGACCTTCGCCGGCGTCATTGCGTGACCCTCCCTGGGCCTCGGCCCGTCGGCGCGCTGCCATCGCAGGGCCGGCCCGTCGGGAACCGACAGTGCGCGCTCGCTCCTCCCCGCCCATTACCCCTCTTCCCCCGTCGCCTTCCCTGTTCGCCCTCCTCCTCCTCCTCCGCCTCCTCCTCCTTTGTCTTCACACTCCCATTCCCTCCCCCTCTCTCTCGATAGAGAGAGAAAGAAGAAAGACCAGGAAGGAGAACCCCTGTTCTCCTTCCCTCGCTCAGACGCAAGAGCGGCCCTTCGCCAGAGTGACCTCTGGTGCGGGCCCACATTGCTGGTCACCCGATCGCCCCGCGCGATGCGATGGTAGCGTCCTGCGCGTTTGGGCTTCGCCCCCCCCGCGCCCCTACCCAGGGTTGCTCTCGCGCGTGTTGCCGATCCCCCCCTTCCCCCTTCACCTTCGCCCCCCGCTCTCTTCACACTCCCATTCTTCACCGTCACCCCTTCGCCTTCACCCCACCTCTTCCCTTCACCTTCACCCCTTCGCCTTCGCCCCTTCACCTTCACCCCTTCGCCTTCACACCCCTTCCCCCCCGGTTCCCTCTTCCCCCTTCGCCTTCACACCCCTCCTTCTTCCCTCGCGAGAGAGAGAGAGAGAGAGAGAAACCACCACCCTGGGCCAGGCCCACCCTGCGCCCCGGACTGGCGCCCCGCGCGGCTGACCCGCCCCAGGCCCGCGAGGCTCCGCGCATCCTCGGCCACGCGCAGAGGGGAGCACCCCCTGCTTCTAAGAAGCACCCTGCTTCTTGGAAGGCGCGCGGGCCTCGTCTGTCGATGTGAGGCGGGCGCCCCCTAAGAAGCAGCCTCCTTCTAAGAAGCCTTCCCCGCGCCGCCAAGAAGCTGTCCCGAGGGGCCCGAGAAGGGCTCCTCGGGCTGTTGGTGTGGTGTGCGTTGCCTGGGGGCCCCTGTTGTTCCTGACTCCTTCGCCCTCTCCCGACCCCCTGCTTCCTCCTCGCGAGCTCCGGTCAAGGGCAGCGTGAATTAGGGTTGAGTCGGGCCTGTCCCTCTACAGGAGGAATCTTCAAAAATAATCAAAACATAGTCTGGAGACGATTTGTTCACTGTTCTCGAGCATGGTTGGAGCACTCTTTCAGTATTTTTTTAGATTCTTCGCCCAGGGTCCCCTTGTGGGGGGACAGGCCCTTCGCGCGGGGGGGGTCGCATCGACCCCGCCCTGGAGAGTGCGGGTTCGCCCTGGGGGCTGTCGCCGATCCATCGGCGACGTACCTCTGGTTGCAGCTGGATGCTTCCGCCAGAGCCCGTCCTCCCAAGATCGTCGGAGATTGGTGGACCTCCTACCCTGGCACGTCGATTAGTGAATCGGCCGTTTTCGGTTCCCGAGAGGGCGTCACGGCCGTTATTTTTGCGGGTCCAGGTCCGTCGGTTTCGGTCTTAGGCCGTTTTCACTAAAGGGTGGTTTATTAAAGGGAGGTTTGTCCACCGCCGATATCGTTGTCCCTCACCTCCTTGCATGTTCCCCAGGTATGGACGAGGATACGAAGGCCCCCGCGACAGTTGGCAGCTGCTATCTCTCTCTCTCTCTCTCTCGCTTCGCATCCACTCCCCTCCCCGCTGCCCATTTTCACCCTCATCGCCATCCCTTGTCGCAAGGCTTGTTGTTTTTAGATGAACGTCCAGTAACTAATAAC